TTAAAAATTAATTGAAAATTAATTACAAATGAATTGAAAATTAATTAATAAAATTTCATTAAAAATTAATTAATAGAATTTCATTAAAAATTAATTAATAGACAACAATTAAACATTAATTAATAGAAACTAATAAAAAATGTATTAATCAATAGAAATAACATAATTAAATATAAGTTTATTGATTTTTAACATTCAAAAGTTTACCGATAATAAACTAATTAATTACTTAATTAAGTAGTTAAAAAAAATATTAATTAATGTAAAAATAATTAAATAAAAAATAATAGCAAATTAATTACATATTGATTAAAATTAAATAATTAAAAATAAAATTAATTAATTTAAATACAAATAAATCAATTAATTAACAAAAAAATATTAATTTAATTATTTAAATAAAAATAAATTAATTAAAAATAATGTAATTAAAATTAAATTAATTAAAAATTAATTTATAATAAAATAATAAATTAATTAGTAATTAATAAAATAATAATTAGTGGCTAATAAAAAAATAATTTATATTTAACAACATTTTGATAATTAAATTATGATTAAAAAACATTTCTAATTAATTGTAACGAATTTTAAATTAGAAATAATTAATTAAAAATTACACTTTATTAACTGTATTATTTTTTAATAAATTAATTTATTTATTGATAAATTTATTAAATTAAAATTATTAAACATTACTTATGTATTAATAAATTCTTAATTTTTCATTAATTAAATGTTATTATGCCTTACCTTATCGAGTGTATCCTCCGGAAGCCAATTAACTAAGGAAATAATATCATCAGGATTATAGGGTGGTGCATATATAACTTCAGATACTTCGGTTCTATCGCAATTGCAATAGGCAGTGGATACATGAATTAGTGCCTAATTGAAGGAATAATAACAAATTTCAAAATCAAGAACTAAAGAATATTTCAAATTTTCGATCTACTTACATCTAAGGACATCATACGATGGCATAATTCAACCAAACGTTTTGTCCCTAACATATTGATTGTAACTGATAATTTGAGCTTTTCATCGAATTTAACAGTGGCAGCTGAATGGAATACAATCGAAACATTGCGACACAATAGAGCCTGTAAATACAAAACCATGTTTCAATTATAATTATTTTCCAAATAAAATTTGGCATTATTTGAACATACCTGATCACTTTCGGATATACCCAATTCTTCGGATGTTATATCGCCTGATATAGGAATTACTTTACTCAAATCCTTTGGTTTTTCTCTTCTCAATTTTTCAAAAAGCTATAAGAAATAGAATATAGAATTTGTAATGATTCTCAATTTCTAAAAATGACAATTTTTTAGCTTACCGGTGCCTCCAGCAGTTCATTGAGACGCTGTGATACCTCATGTCCTCGTTTGGGTCGTATCAGTAAATATATATTTTTTATGTCTGGACAAGAACGTAGAAGTTTTTCAACCAAGACCTGAAAAGGATATGAAGAGAAAACAAATATTTTAATAAAGTTGGTTACACAATTATAGATAAATGATAGCCCCTATTATAAACGTAGATCCTTATCCTGAAATCAGATTACAAAATCCTCCAAAATTTTCTAATCAGCCGAAGTTATTACCCACTTCGGCTGATTAGAAAAATTTGTTTTCCTTTCTTCAGTCCCATGTTGTCAATTAATCGTCAATGTTAATGAAGGGCTTGAGTTATTATCAAGATTCCAGTTATGTTATTATTACCCACACCCAATCCCAACCCAGTCCTTATTTATTACTCGAAGCAAATACAGACCCTGTCCGGTACTTAGTTAGCTGCCTGGCAAGTTTACCCTTATTTATGTGTCCTCTTGCCTCTCCAAAGTCTCTATTCTTATTAGTATTAAACAAGTAACCATGTGAGTGTCTATATCACTATGTGTGTGTGTGTTTACACTATAAGTATGTGTACATACGTACACACGACGACTACTTAAGAAAGGACCTCATTGTTGTTCCTGAGAGGGTATTTATGTTGTTGGTGCAAACAATTAGAATGTTGATACAACAAAAAAACTGTAAATGAATGAATGACTGAGAGTGGAGAAGGAGAATAAGGAGATTCGAAGTAGGCAGTTCTCTTTTGTTTTTGGACTCCTTTGTTTTTTCGTGACGCCTCTATGAAAAATTAATGTTGTAAATAGTGTGGAGGTGTGTTAGAAGCACGTAAGGAAGGTAAATTTGTGTAGTAATTTTACAGATGAAAATTGTAAAAAATTTAACACATGGGAATTAAATAATGGGAATAAAAAAAAACAAATACAAAATACGTTCCTCCACCATGATGCAGGACATTTATACGGCCCGAATGGTTTTAATCCTGTAAGAAAGCGGATCCAGAATATGGGGCCTAGGTCTAAACATGTACCTATAGTTAAAATATTGTATTTTCCAAACACCAAGAACCAGGAATGACAAATTGTCGACCCCTAGAATCATGGAAATACCTAAAATGGTGACTATTTAAAATATTCTGCCAAGAAGTAGAACAAATACTGGGAATGGCAAATTGCAGCCACTTTGATTGGTAAATGGGCTAAGAACATGAAAATACCGGAAATTTGGGAGGACATTTTTATAGATATTATGGTAAAATATGGTCCTACGTTGGAAATTTTCTGCAATGGTCATTTAAAAACCCGGAATGCGAAATGACGGCCATTTTGGTTGGAAATTGTGGCTAGGATCATTAAAATGCCAGAAATGAGTAGGGGTAATTTTGGTGGTGACGATGGCCAAACATTGACATGTACTTAAAATATTCTGCAACGTACTACAAATAACCCACAAATAACCTAGAATGCAGAATTACAGACACTTCGATTGAAAAAAGAGACTATGACCATAAAAATATCCACAATGGGACGGGGGCCATGGGAAAAATGGTCCTATATTTAAATTATTCTGCAATGAAGTTTTTTACCCACCAAGAACCCAAAATACCAAATCACAGCCACTTCGGTTGGAAAATGAGCCTAGGACCATTAAATTATCTAAAATCGGTCGAAACCCTTATATAGGAGCCTCGACCTATTTGCTGATAATTTGCAGCAAATATAATATTGACCCTCCAAAAATCAGATATCATAAATTACAACGCATTCTATTTGAAAATGCGGCTAATGGAATGGAAAAACCTGAATATGGGCCGCTATAATTTTATAGGTGTTATTGAAAAACGTGGAATTACATCAGGAACATTTAATGTTAACTTTATAAAGGGGCGACTCAGAACATTGGACGCTCCGAAATCCGGGTATGCCAATTTACATGTCATTCTCTAGAAAAATGTGTGTAAAACCATCAAAATACAGAAAAAGGTACCGGTACCGTTTTATGGATGCTATAAGGTGCCTAGGCGAATAAAAATTCTTATATTGGGGCGATACCTTTATATGGAGGCTATGTGGAAAGATGGGCCTACAACGAAATTAGAGCTGCTTTAGATAAAATGTGTGTCCGAAATTATGTTGCCAATATTGATAATTTTTGGTAGGAAGATATTCTACTAAGTGAGAATCAAAATTATAAATTTACAGCCTTTTTGTATTAAGAACGTGTTCGAAATACCTAAAATATTGAAAATTGTAAAAAGTTGGTATATGGAAGCAAACCAGAAACTTGGGTCAATTTTTGCTTGGTAGATTCCCTTTTTTTCAAAATATCAAATTACATCCTTTTCGATGAAAAACGACTTTGAAATTCTCAAAATATCGTTATATGGGGGCCATATCTAATCGTGAACCGATTAATCCCATTAATAAAAGTAGACGAATGGACCTGGCTAAATCGAAATAGAGGAGTTGCAAACGGTATGACAAATTTAATATGAAATTCAGGATATGAAATTGCAGGTTATGAAAATTATAGCTTATAGTTCCGACAACCTTTGAAAAAAAATTTTTAAAAATCAAAGATTCTGGCTCTGCCAGCCCTTGAAAAAAGCAAATACTCACAATTCTGCGACTATAGCACTTCTAGTTCTTGCAAAAATATTGCTAAAATATTTTAACGTCTTAGAAAAAGTTTCTCTATAAATCTACACTCAAAAGCCAGGCTAGGTAGGTAGGTTCTTCAAAAACAATTATTTAAGACCCCAAGCTCAATTCATTAAAAAATATTCTTTAAAAGCACACGCCTAAAGCTCTGAAGCAGCTTGAAAAAAGAATTCTTAGTAGGTCCTCGCTTATAGCTCTGAAGATGGCCAAGCTTGTGGAAAAAATTATTTAAAAACCCTCCTCTTCCGACTACAGTCCTTAAAATATTCAAGTCTATAAATCTGATAATTTTTGGGAAAATAGTCCACGTTATATAGAATTAGCGCTTATAGTTCTGCTAATTCTTGAAAAAATATTCATTATTCAAAACTTATTGAACAAATGTTCTTAAAAAGTCAGTCTAATAGCTTTCAATTTTATACAAAACATATTCTTCTTAAATCTGCCAAACCATAAATTTTTAACTCGCGTTTAATTGATAGTCCCTAAAAAATTCTATAAAAATCCTCAGTAGCCCTTCACGGTATCATCCTCCCAACTCTAATTGCCCCCATTTGCCCAACTATTTCAAAATTCACTACAAAATACAATGACACAATTTGATTTTTTTTGAACTTCAACTCTCCACCCCGACCAACCTCCATAATTATTTACTTTGTTACAATATTGACCACCCACCCTACACAACAAAACCTCCTGAACAATTTTCATTGTCCGAATACACTTCTGCTGTGTTAAAACAATTTTAAAAATTTATAACTAAAACAATTTGCATTTTGAGCGACCGATGGGTGGTAGACTGCTTACTGCCATCCGTCTACACCTAAGCTAATCGTTAGCACGGACATACACACAATGAAATCGTCAGTCAGTTACTCAGTTACTCGGTCACTCAGTTAGTCAATAATACTCAGTCATTAGCTGTAATAATTACAGGTTGTATAACACATTGTTGTATTTGCCTGAACTCGTGCACATGATGATATCCTGGCCATAAAAAGGAAACCAAAGGGAAATATTTGTATATCTAATAGACTGTCAGTAAATATGTGGGTATTTCTTATGTATGTATATATATGGTCAATAACATTTGTTGGGGAGTTGTGATGTGGGGAGAATTTCTTGGAAATCGAAATAATTTTCCGAAAAGGGGTATGTCTAGAGCTCATTTTTCATTGTTTTTCTTTATTAATGGGTGAAAAAGGTTGGGGAATAAAACAGAATTTTTAAATTGAAAGTAGAATTTGAATATTTTACACGGATATGGCTTCGAAGTATTTAAATTGACTGTGTACTGAACTAGTGTCTCAGTGGGAGTTGTATGAGATTTTCGATGTTTGATTATAATACTATTTGAATATACAGTCGAAATTGGTTATAGCGACAGTTTCGATTTACATAAATTTGTCACATTGTACGCAAATGACTCTAAATCTGTCCGAATGGAATTGAATTTAACATAGGTTGCAGAAAGGATGTGTATCACTTATAGATAAAGATCACATAGAATATACCCAAAGTGTTGAAGGGTATGATATAGTCGGCCCAGCCCGACATTACGGTGTTTTTTCAATAACACCGTTCGACCAGTTTACATTTTTTTGATAATTAGCGGGAACTTCCAAAAAAATATCACAGAGAGGTTAAAAATAGAATAAAAGGCGTGGCATTATTTCCCATTTCCAAAACATTTGAAAATATTCGGATTAAGATTTCTCGACATCCTTGCATTTTTTTTGGCAACATTACTGATATAGGAATGTGAGAAATATTTTGGTCTAATACGTTAGCCCTTAATCGACTCCCTGAAGTGGCCTTTTCCGGCCCCTTTTCCAGAAATGATTGAAAACTCATTTAAAACAAGTTTATAGCAGGTCAGAATATTCTACAAAAACGTTCGCCATACAAATTTATAAACGTCAAAAATTATAAAAAATATGACAACTTATTTTAGGGTTAAAAGCGATCTTATTCCGAGTTTGTACAAGTTTTCCCCACAAGATGGCGTTTTAGAAGGATGATATAAAGGAGAAAAATGGTCAACTTAGGAAGAATAATTTAAAAAAAAACATTAGCAATTTTTTCATAGAAATTTCCCAGTATTTTTTCAACAAATTGTATGAAAGTAACATGAAACTTAATTTTCCGTGAATAGCCTTAAATATAATATTGACAACAAATTCTTTGTTGACTTTAGGAAGTGTTAATTAAAGAACTTGCAGAAATGTGTCAAAATCTTCGTAGGAGTATTTTGTCAAAGACAAATTTATTCTATATCGAATTGCACTATTAGTTATATGAGAATAGATTTTTGTGAAGACGATATTTATTTGCAATTTTTTATACCCTCCACCATAGTATGGAGGGTATATTAATTATGTCATTCCGTTTATAACACATCGAAATATTCAATTCCGACCCTATAAAGTATATATATATTCTTGATTAGGGTAAACTTCTAAGACGATCTAGCCATGTCCATCCGTCCGTCTGTTGTAATCATGAGATAGGGTGCTGAAATTTTGCATAGGGTTGTCTTTTGTCTGCAGACAGGTCAAGTTCGAAGATGGGATATATCGGTCCACGTTTAGGCATAGCTCCCATATAAGGGTACCCCCCCCAATTTTCGGTATTTTGGGGTTCTTGAGCACGTTTTTCAACCGAATTCGCTGAAATTTGCTACAATGGGTTTTTATTGGGTTCCAAATTTCTCCACAAAAAGTTATAAATATAGGTCAACTTTTTCTGGTAGCCCCCATATAACGATACCCTATAATTTGCAGTATTTTGGGGGGTTTTGATCATATTTTTCCACCGAATTGGCTGTATTTTGGTATTTTGAGTTCTTAATAGGTTATAAAACTTTTCACTAAAAAATATAGGTCAATTTTTTCGGATAGCCCCCATATAAGGGTACCCCCAATTTTCGGTATTTTGGGGTTCTTGAGCGCGTTTTTCAACCGAATTTGCTGCAATTTAGTATTTTGTAGTCGTATATGGTAACAAATCTCCCTACCAAAAATTATTAATATTCGCCACCTTTTGGGGTAGTCCCCATATAACCCCCTTTTTTATGTTAAAATAGTTATCTGATTTGTTCCGCGTTTGGAGTTTGGTTCTAAGACTCTGTTGTAATCATTTCACCTGCGGAGGATAGCGTGATAAAAAATTAGAACGTAAGGTTGTATAATGAACTATAGTCGCATTTAGACCTAGCCCCTGTGTGGAGGTTCCAGAAGCAGTGGACCGATATTCCCCATCTTCGAAATTGAACAAAGTTTGGAAGAAGTAATAAGATGGGCAAAGATTGGATGAAATCAACATTTTCTGAAACTAATTTGGTGCAGAGAACATGGGATCTAAATCCAATATTTTGTTAGGTACATTTTCACCGTTTCAAAGTGTATACACCCTCATTAGCCATTAGGCTGAGGGTATAATTATCCATTAAAAAAAATTGTGAAATTTGTATTATGGTTTACATAATCGGTCTGTAGAAATGTCGGTATAGGTCCACTTTTTGGGATATTCCCTATATTTTCATTTCAAGTAAATGTCAGTATATCTATGGTGGAGGGTAATCAAAGTTCTTAACGCTTTTTCGCTTGTTTTCTCTAATTTGGGATATCAGCAAATTTCTTATTTTGAGCAAATTTCGCACTTTTACCCGATCTAAATATTCAGGAATATTTTTAGCCCCTCAATCATATTTTTTTTGAAATTTCCCGATAATTATTTTTGTGTTGCACAGTGTAATTAAACTTTAGTCCGGTCCAAACCTCAAACAAAATTAAAAAATTGGTCAATCCCATTTTCAGATATTTTTTGGCATGACTAGTTTTCTATTTTATAGATCTTAAAATAAAAGAAAAAAAAACAATTTACAACACTTTCACAATTACCGGTGCGAATAATAAACGATTTTGAGCAATTTACATTTAAAATACATTTAAATTATGATTGAAAGAGCTACCACCATAGAAAGAGTTATCTATATATGGTTGTATGTCGGTTATCAAAATTTTGCATCTTGTTATTTTATTTATCCGGAAATTTATATAATTTCTGTTTTGTTTTTTAATCTATTATGGTGAGTAGATCTTTAAATTTACATAAAGTAATAAATTATTTTTTTTATTACAGCGGGTTTAAAAGAGTAAAATTGTTGGCATGATAACAAAGAAATGATAAGAGTCTACTATTAGCCAATTTTTGATCGTGGATTTGCTTGGCATTTTTTTTATACCCTTCGCCACACTGTGATACAGGGTATTATGTC